CCTTTCCACGTAGTCTTGTGGAAGACGGAGCGTCTTATTGAACCATCATCCTCTCTAAACATGAGGACGTCCAGGAAGGGTAACTTGTTAAACTGCTCCATTTCCATCGTAAATTTTATTTTAGGATGCAGATTATTCATCATGCACTGCCATTCTGTACAAATTCATACTGCTGTGCGCGTTCATTCGTTACCTATGTTATGCAGAGACGGGTTGCAGTTGAAAAGCCGTCACGAAATTTGTTGGCCCCAATAAATTCTGCTGTACATGCTTGTTTTCAATTCATACCGGGGAAAAAATGCTTCAAACCACCACTTCTATCACTGCTGATGCCAGTGCTATGAGTAAAATAACTACGACCAAAACGTCTGCCGGTGACAGTACTAATACTATGACCAACATTACTAATACTACTACTACTACTACTACTACTACTACTACTACTACTACTACTACTACTACTACTACTACTACTACTACTACTACTACTACTACTTCTACCACCGCCACTGCTGCTACTGCTAATATCGCTTCTACTACCATGCGTACCAATGTCTCTTTTATTGTTGTTGTTGTTGTTTCTAACACCCATGGTTCTGTGGCAATTACATCTGACTCTTCCACTATGGTGATAGTTCGAACGTTGCCAGAGACAAGGTTCACCATTGGGGCAAAATTAGTCACGTACATCTCCCTCTTCTGCTGTTTCGCCGATGACTATAACTAGTACTTCTAATTCTACTACTATTACGATTAGTAGTAGTAGTACCACTACATCATTAAGATTACCTCTTTTAATACTATTTCAATTAATTCCACTACTACTGCTTCTGTTACTACCACTACCGAATTTCTTCCCCTAAGTCAGATTTTTACGGCATCAGAAAGAGCTCCTCTAAGATATCTGAAATCATCATTACTCGTATTCCAGCCAAGATTGTTTTAGTGAATGGGAAGCAATGTGCGACTCGTGCATCTCGGATAGAGAGATGGTGACTATGGAATTTGAATAATTCGTAAGCACTAGTACGCATCCGAGGTAGTTTGTGGATCAGGTTTCCATGGTATGGCAAGGTGATAAGAGTTACCATGTACTGTTTTGCGTAAAGTCAGCAGTCATGAATAGTTGGCGTGTGTTACCGCAGTGTGTGTTGAATTTGCGTAATAAATCTCTGCTGCAGGTCTGCCAGGAACTATTTTTAATGATCTCTCTTGTGACTTTCAGTTCAACGAGCGGTTTATTTACGGATGTTTGGGCGTCAATCTCCAAGTTTCCTTAGCTTTGAATACAAACACCCTATTTCCGACATGCCCAATCGGCTGAGATATTCGGGAAACAGAAAATGGTTAACAATTGCAACAAGTCGGAGACGATTGGCAGACGATACTGACCACATGCAGGGCTTCGCTGATTTGTATTGGACTAAATCCATCTAGAAGAGAATGCGCATGCGGTAATACCAGGGGAATTTGAGTCCCGTGTTTTTATATAGTAGATGGCTGTTAATGGTCGCAATGACGAAAGCCATAACGGTGATTGCTTTTGGTAAACGGTTGTTATGCCCCAACCGGCGCCAAGGGTTAGACATAACTAACCGACGGTAACTGTCAATCGCAATGAACCCACTTTGGTAAACCAATACTCCTTCCTGGCAAACGCAGTCTCCCTGACCACTAAGCTGAACGAGTAAGTCTCTGCCCCGACGTCTAGAGCTGGCCGACATCTGACAGGCTTCAGTAATTTGTTTAGCATCACAGTGGCATCGGATCCTGGACATCAAGTTGAAGTTGTGCAGCATTTCAGACGGGTCTAACA